AATCGCTTAAACCCAGGAAGCAGAGGTTGCAGTGAGTTGAGATCACGCCACTGCACTCCAGCTTGGCGACAGAGCAAGACTCTGTCTCAAAAAAAAAGAACGCACATTTGCTTTTCTGTCTTTCAAACTGGTTCATTCCAATGTCATTCCTCTTCTTGCTAGTTAGCTACTTAAGAAAGAATGCTGTTTGGTCATTTATACTACATGCTCACATTACTGCATAAAGGACTTCAGCCTCTCTAAGTGCTTAAAATGTACAGTTATACTAAAGAAAATACTAAAGTAAGCCTGGTTTGTAATGCTTCAGAGGGAATTTGACTCTCAAGTTACTTTTTTAAAGTTTTAATATGAAGTATAAATGTATACCTTATGTTTCAATATCAGTCTTCTTTCAAAATCAAAGGGCAAGTCTGTAAAGGAGTATAGGGTGAAGTTAAACTGAACATAATCAACTTTTGGTCTAAAATATAACCTATAAGTTTTTTTCCTAAACTAGGAATTTTAGGTAGCAGAGGTACTTCTAGTAATTGTATCAATAGCTAGGAAACTTGGGTGTATTCCTTAATGTTCATGAGGTCTCAATAAAATATTGGATTTTCTATCTGAATTTGAGGAAATCAGAAAATTATTTTTGTTGTGTAGTAACATTAAGATTGTCTTACGTCCATCTTGACAGTAGCCAGATTCAAGGAGAGAAATTATTTGGGATTCAATAATAAATAACAAAATTAAGAATAGGATATTCAGAGAATGCAAATCACATAATCACCTTCTGACCTCACCCTGTAATTTCAAGCATTCTGGAAATAAAATGTGTATGTACTGTTCAAGAAAAGGGTTTGAACAGAAAAGGGCTATGTTTCCTTTAAACACCCTTGCAGATGACCAATGTGACATTATAGAGAAAGATGCAGCTTAGGGGACAATTGGAGAAGGGAGCACATTCTCACACTCTTTTTTAGGAACATGCCAGCTCTTTTCTTCATTTATTCAATATGCTAGAGTCCCAGTTTCTTTCCGAAGCCAGAGTTCATGCTTTTACTCCCAGGTAGCAGCAGCTTTACAATTAAATTTTAATCCAACGATGTTGTTAGACTCCTATCAAGAGTACAGCCACAGCTGTTCTTGGCAGGCAAATACATTGCTGGTTTTCCTTTAGTCACAGTGAGATAGAAGAATGTTCTCTGGCTAGGGTGTGGACGAAGACACTTTACTAATCTTATGCATAATTCATCCTTGGTTGCTGGGGCACTCATAGTTGAAACTTTGCCCTCTGACAAAATTCAGCTGGATGTTTTTACTTATTAGACTCTGATCCCTTTAGGGGTTTAGCCCTTATTGGAAGCCCAGGGATTATAATTCAGCTAAACCCTAGCTATGAAGACTTTTCTTACTAATTTACTCTTGGTGAATTTTAGCTATTGTAATACCACCTTTAACAAAATAAAACAAAACAAAAACGGCAGTAGAACATGCAGTTCAGAGAGTCCTAGATACCTGAAAAGAGTCTTCCTTGAATGTTGGCTTATTGCATGGAAGGACTCTGATAGAGCCTGTTTTGATTTGTTTTCAAAGTTTAGATTTTTAAAAAGACTCAGCATTTTTAAACATGGTTTTAATTGTTCTATAACATGCTAAAATATAGTAAGGATTGTTCTGTAACATACAACAGGTCTTTGCATTTCAAATTCATTGGGTACCTATGAAGTATAAAATATAATCCCTGTTCATAAGTAACTCATAGTCTAGTGATGGGGGTTTGAGATGGGCATGAAGATGTATTAGTGTAAGGTAGAAGCTATTGCCACAACAGATTAGTTCATCCTTGAATATTCATTTATTTCACTGGAAGTGACTGACTGGTATGCTATTTTCATATGCCTCCCATAACATATAGTGACCCAAAAAGTCAATCTAGACTAACAGAGTATGCTTCCTTTCAGAAGAATGTATTTGGTTAGGTCAAGCAAGAACATATAGAATGAGACATATTTATTCTTTTTCAAAAATGCAGCATAGAGTACTTTCATCTTTATACCCAGCAGCTGAAGTTTATCTTTTAGTAAGCAGTGATATTTATTATAATATTTGTATGAATAGAATTTATCAAAAAATGGAGAGCTCTACAATTCAAAATTTAAGCAAGAAACGTCTCACCTCAGATTCACAGAGTAATTGCCATAAGACAAAAGTTTCTACACTCGTACATTTTATATTCCTCTTTTATATCCTCCCTTTCCTAATAATGGCAGATTAATAAGGACTAACCGCCATCCTGGTTTTCAGTATGAAACAGTGTGATTTCATGTGAAGCAGAATGGAATAGTAAGAGTTAGAACCAAAATTACTTGGTTCTTTGGGCATGTGAAAGAATAGGAAAGAGCTACCCAGAATTTTCCAGAGCTTACTTGATAATGTCAGAGCTGCAGCTGGCAGTCACTGATTCTGAAAATAAAAAACTAAATAAAAGGATATTGGGATAAGGCACTAAAATAAGGTTCCTTTTGCCCTTTCTTTATAGCTGGGTTTTGCTGATCAATTCTGCATTTTTGACAATTCACCTCTTTACAGGGAGAACCACCAAGATGATTTTCTCTCTAAGTAACTGAAAAATATTTCTTATCTTTATTGTGCTATCTCATTAAAGTAACATAGACTTGCTGGATCATTGGGGATATGACTTTGGGATATATGTTTTAAAATAGCACCAGAGTGTTGGGATTGCAGGCGTGAGCCACTGCACCAGAGACCGGGTACAGTGGCTCACGCCTGTAATCCTAACATTTTGGGAGGCCGAGGTGGATGGATCATCTGAGATCAGGAGTCTGAGACCAGCCTGGCCAACATGGTGAAACCCCATCTCTACTAAAAATACAAAAATTAGCCTGGCGTGGTCGTAGGCGCCTGTAATCCCAGCTACTTGGGAGCCTGAGACAGGAGAATCACTTGAACCTGGGAGGTGAAGGTTGCAGTGAGCCGAGATCGCACCACTGCACTCCAGCCCGAGTGACAGAGCAAGATTCCATCTCAAAAAACAAACAAAAAGGCACAGACCCTGTCCTTGAGTTTATACAAATTAGGCATGTAATCAGTAAATATGGTAAAATGATGAAAGTATATGCAGTAGAAGAATAGACCCAAGGCTAAATTCTAAACTACTCATGTAAACATTATAGTAATACTAGAGAGTTGTAGAATATACTGACTTAACTCAGTGTTGCAGCAGAAGAAAGGAAGAAAAACTATTTGAACAGTGACTTGGAGGCAGAAAACTGGGGATCTGGCTTTGGAATTTACTTTATTGGTGACTTTTACTTCTCTAGTTTGTCACTCATTTCTCTGAGCTTGTGACACCTACTGGAATAAACAGAAATTATTATTGTTTGCTTAGGTTAACAAAATATACATCTCCAGATAGTAAGTTAGTTGCATGATGGCATCTTCTAATTCAGCAGTCTAATTTGTAGCATACTGGTAAGGAGGTGTGCTTTTTTTGCATATTTCTGAGTGGTAGGGAGCCCACTTTCATCCATTCACCTGCGATCCTATTCAGACTAGCAACTATGTCTGCTAACATTAGGTTCCCAGAAAAAAAGATGTAAGTAAATGCCAGTGCCATTGAGCTCCTGTGAAGGTACCAGCTACTACCATAGGACTTGGCTGAAGATAATGAGCATAGTTACCTTTTTTTTTTTTTTTTTTTTTTTTTTTTTTTTTTTTTTTTTTTTTTTTTTGAGCTTTTATTTTTTGGATGGCATTGAGAGTAACCATCTCTTTTTTTGGCCTCAAGTTCCATATTGAATTTTTTAAAATTGCATTTTGAGCAATAACATTTCCCTGGTTGCTTGACCAGTTATACAAGTTGAGACTTCTGTCTCTATGCCTATTTTATAATAGCTTCTCTGGGAGAACAGATGAAAAATAAGCCAGTAAGATATTTTATGAGTATTGAAATCCTTTCCATTCAGAAATGTAAATAAATAACCAGCATGAGCAATCAGCTTATGTCAGATTCCATGGGTTTATGTTACATAGGGAAATTATAGTGCAACCTGAAACATGCTTCTTAATGAATTCATAGTGCTGTCACAGTTGAATGTAAACCTTTGAGCTTTTCTTTCTGAAGGGTTTCAGAAATCACCCTTTATAAACTACCTAGGGGAGGGAAGAGAACTAAGATGATACTAACAAATGCTGTCACTGTTCTGTGGCTGCCTCCCTTCCACCATCAAATTTTGCCAGTTAAGTAAAGCATAAACCTAGAATATGGCATACCTTTTGGCTTATTCAGTGTACACACACACACACACACACACACACACACAGAGTCAGTGCTACACTGGGTGAGACCCACAGTTCAATACTCTGCTTCTGAAAGTGGCACCAGGGAACTGCTTTGGAAGATAAAAACTGCTTTGTTTTTATCCTAAGAAGTTAGAGAAGTTTGGTTAAGAAGTATGACAAAAGCCCCAAAAGTAGCCATTTTTACTGTCAGCAAATGCAGGAAGCTAGACACCTAACTAGAGATCACGAAGTCACAATTTGTCTCCTTCTTTGGCTGCTACGCCAGCACACAGTAGTAAACTAGAATAAAGCTCCTCATTTATTAGTGAGCTATTTTGCAGTCTCTAAAGCTCTTTTGCAGCTCTCCTATGCACTATGGCCTCAGATACGATAAATCTGCTAGCTGCAAAAATCCAATATACCAAGTAGGATATATGGGACCAATCAAGTTTTAAATTTGGGAGTGAGGAAAAGAAGCATGTATTTCACATTCTAATTTCTTAAGGGTTTGGCTTGATTTATGCCAGGTTCTGGGCCTATAAGTCTACATTAATGTATCACAGTATTGGATAGGATATTTGATATCTCGTAGCCCAGAATCTCAAATTATAAGGAGCTGTAGTTAATGATAGGTGGCACTTTGTTGAACTTTCAGGGTAGATCTTTTTAGTCCCTGTGTCTGTAACAAATGGACTCATCCTTGTGCTTTTCCATAGGTGCCCTGATGTTTACTGACATAAATCAAGATACTGTGTGCCTCTATAGGGGATGCTGAACCATTTGACAGTCGAGATGCACACAGTCACCTCATATTATTTAAGCCCTGATCTCAGCATTCTAATTTCTCTGTATTCCCCAGTGTATATAATGTGTACTTGCTTGAAATTCCTTATATATTGCTTGTACATTCCTGCTTCTAGGTTTCAGCACATACCAGTTCCTTCTATTTAGAATGCTTTGTTCCTACTGCCCTCAATCAGTTCATAAAACAGATAAAGCTGTCTTTTAAAAATCCAACTCAAAAGTCACCTCCCATGGAATGCCATCTCTGATTAATCTCATTAACCTAATGCCTTTATTCTCAGGCTTCTGTTTCCTAGTCCATTAAACTGTTTCATTTCATTGTAATTGTTGCTTCTGTATATTGTCACTCAATAATTATTCTAGGAATGATCATCTTCCTCCATCCTCTTTTGTCTACTTATTACACACAAATATTTTGAAGGCCTATCGTGACCTTTTCAGTTTCCCCAGAGTTCCAGTTCACCTTCCTTACTGTTTCCTTTTACTTCATAGTTAAATTCCTAGAGAAGCAGGGCATGTATTCAGGGGTTGGCCTCCACCTCAGCATGTGTGTGGCAGCCTGCTGAATAGATCCCTACAATTGGGAAGGAGTTAACCCTCTAGACAGTCTCTGCATTCTACTTAGACACCTTCAAGAAGTAGATGTGAGACCAGGAAGAGAACTAGAGATGGGAGTAGGTAAATTTCCACTGAAAGCCAGGTTAGCTTTTTCCTTCCTTTATACACAAGACCTATAAAGCTGCTGTCATCAGCAGCTCACTCAACACTCTCTTGCTCTGCCTCTTTTCCAGGAGTCAGGGTTAGTTTAAGAAAAAGCCTCTTGCTAGAAGCCATGACCTTGTACTTTTATCCCCTCCATCTGGTGTGTGGCCTCATGGGGCTGTGCTGCTATGCAGGAGGTGAGCAATGGAATTCTTTAGATGATGACTTCTGAGCCCACATGCAGAGGCAGTTGGGGGTGGGAAGCAGGGAAACAGTGAGAGCCAAGATCGATGGACCAAAAAGTAAAGTCTGCTTTGGGGAAGTCCTGACTCTAGGTAGACTGTTTTCATGAGGTGTTCTTCCCCTCGCTCAAGCAGGGACCCAGGTCAGGGAGCTGTAGCATCCCAGGTCTATGATTGATGAACATTGTGCAATTTTCTCTTCTGCTTTAACAGTTGGGGTGCAGGAGTGAGATAGGTAGCCTGTGCTGTCTCTAACAGAAAACATTCCAGGATTGAACAGAAAAGAGTTCCCCTTGCACACATCATCTTTTTGGAGCTGCTTTCACTCACTGTCTTGCATCTAAACAGAGGTCCAAGTTTTGAATGGGAGAACAAAGAGGGGTTGAGAGCAGCAAGTGTTTGATCAAGTGAAAAATCTGCTATCTGCCTCATCTCACAGGGGTTTTTCTGGAGGGTTGAGACCCCTTGCCTTGGTGTACACAAATTGCTTGCATCAGCTAGAGTTCCCAGTACCTTTACCAGGCCACAGGTAGGCATCTATCTGGCTTGGGATGGGAGTTTCTTAGGACACTTATTCCCTGATCTTGCTTTCCTAACCCAGGAGTTGACAGCATTTTTAGAAGGAGTGAAATCTCAAAGGAAATTCTAATACATTCTTTAAAAGCCCAAAGCTTTAATAATTTTCTGTCATTACTGCTTCTACTGTGTCTATACATTTAGCATAATTTCAAAAGGACTAGATAAAACAAAATTTTTAATGTTAATCTGAAGGGGGAAGAAAAGGGATAGAATTAGGAGCCAGAGTTGTTTAAATGTGGAATACTTTGTATAGTGGTCACATGGTACTGGTGGTAATAGTGGCAGAAATGGCAAAAGGGCCATCATTTGATGAGGTTCAGGAGGGCCTAGGCTGTTCCTTTGTAAACTGTGCTCAGATATACTCTCCTGGCAGTCCTGGGACTCCTATAGGGCTTGAACATTTTATATCAATTTCCGTTTTGAAGGTGTTGGGACTCTGGCGCCCCCAACCCTGGGCATCCTCAGGCTTTCAGGAGAATACACAAGATTTGAAGTCAGAAGACCTAGGTTTGAGCTCTGACTGAGCCAGGCACAGTTCATGTGACCTTGGACAATCACCAAACATTTCTGAACAGCATCTGTAAAATGACAGTAACCCCTACCTCACAGGGTTGTTGTGAGGATTACATATATGCTAAAGCATTTTGTGTATGAAAAAGCTTCTTACAAATATTACTGTTACTCCTTGGAAGCTGTCAAAAAAGACAACTTTAGATGGAATTGTCTTCCTTTTTTCTTTATTCAGCTTAGCCTTTCTGTTTGGCCAGGGCTGCTTACAGGGGCTGGTGGGGTTGAAATAAAGTCACCACATTTTGGTTCCTTTGGTCAAAGAGAAAGAACTCCAATGTCTAGCTGCTCCATCCGTAGACTCATAGAATGGAAGTGAGCAAAGGAAAATTTTAAGCCAGGATAGTTAAGGAGCCAATGAAAGAAGGCTTGCCTTGCATTCGCAAATCCAGAGTGACTAAAACATCTTAAGTAAATAAGGAATAGCCACAAAGATGCTCAGAGATAATTTAAGCCATTAATTGGATGTGGGAAAATGAGTTTATAAACTCTCTTTTCTATCCCTTTACCTTTGAGGTCAGGGACAGGCATATTACTGACACCCCATTGGCCATTGCCCTATACCTGCCAATCACCCAAAGAAAATAATAGCTTCTGAGAAAGCTCAATTCAGTGTAGCAACTGTGATATATTTACTCTAATAAAGTCACCACTTGGTCTTTTCCAGTGCCTCTCTCTTATGGAGATCATCCCTGGAATCCAAAACTATCCTGTTTTCTAACCCAGTTAAGAGTTAAAAACAACCACAGGTCATGAGCAGTAGACTTGGCAATTACACCTCGTGCAGTCATAGGAGACTGCCCCATCATTCTCAGCATGTAGGGTGTACCTCTCACTATCTCTGGCATGAACCAGCCTTGCAAAATTGTACAGTCTCAGCCACTCTGCTTTGGTGGTAATTCTTCACTGATCTGTCCTCTCCATGTCCTTTCTGCATCCTTCCCCCGACCACCCACCAAAGGGGTTCTGGTCCCCACATCAAACAGTTGCCTGCAGGTTGGTAATGTAACTTTGTAGATATTCCTTGGTTACAGCTAGACCCTATTGGTATGCTTTTTGAAATAATGGATCAAATTCTAATTGCTTTTTTTAAATTTGTTAGGGAGAGGAGGATGAGCAGAACTCCTAAGCAGCCTGAGAGTTCTGTATGTGTCCATATATGTATACCTTTGTGTGTGTGTGTGTGTGTGTGTGTGTGTGTGTGTGTGTGTCTGTGTCTGTGTGTAACCTTATGGTTGTGCTCAGGCTGACAGGGAGGGCAAAAAGTGAAAAGGAAGCATGTCTTTCGTGTTTTCCAACATTGCTTCAAAGATGCCCAACCCCCGTAGTAGCAAGCAGTTCCCAAGTGGAGGGTCAGGGCAGAGGCCTCCACCAAGGCCATCAATAACCAGGTATGAGCTACAGGTCTCTGTGTAATGTGAAGCTCTCCCGTATTTCATTTCTGCACCCAGGGGGCGGCTCTGCAGGATTGCTTATGGAGAGCTCTGTGTCTGGCACCTCTCTCCACAAGGCCCAGGCGCCCAGGGTCCCACCGACCTGCCCAGAAATGCATCACATTGTTCTCTGGTGCTGTAATTTGGCTGCAGGAGCTAGGCTGAATGCCTCCCAGGGACGAGAAACGTACTTTCCCATACTCTCCCTGGCATCCTCCCTTCATCCCAGCTAGCTTGAGCTTCTGCCCTATGACCACTGAGAGCATTTAAATAAAACCCTCAGACTGAAGAAAAAACATCCTACTTATCTCTATTCTATTAAGCCATATAGAGAGACTAGTGTCCTGAGTGGGTCTCAGAATTTGGCCAAGACTTAGTGGTTGGTGTTCTTGATAAGGGCAGTGAGAAAAAGGAGAAGAATTACCCCCCGCAACAGGGAGGAATAGAAATGAAGCAGTGAGTGTTCAGAAGTTAGATCTACAAGAAGTTTTGCAAACAGACCCTCAGGAACAGACTATGTTTGGTTTTGTTTTTAATCTGAAGCCCATGATTTTATTTTTCCAGCATCACTCTAAGGAAGAGTGTGGATTAGTGCCATTATTCAGGGCTGGTAATAATAAAAGTTAGCTTTTATCTCCAGGTCTAGGTTATGGATGGCATTTTTCTTTTACCCAAGAACAACTGTCTACAGGCTGTGCAGCTGAGGTACTTCAGTCATGTGCCTTCTCTAAGGGATTCTCAGATGCTTAAAATAGATAGTATCTTTTAAGTTTGTATCTAAGTAGCACTTACTGTAATGCGTTATACCTAAACATTTATTAAAAGTTAGAAGAAATGAGTACCAACAGAAGGAATGGAAGAGAGGAGAGGGGCTAAGATATTGCTGATCTGACGGACAGACCTCTATCCAATAGAGGTGGGCTGGGAGAAGGAGTTATTAGAAGCAGAGTGAGGAAACTAAATGGAGCCCTGAATGCACTAAATAAAGTTCTCATTTTGCTGCTTGTTCCAAATAAATTAGTGTCTGTGAAGCGCAGAATATATGCCAGTTGAATAAAGCCAATCTGAATGCAGAGGTAAGCTAAGAACTATGAGGAAAAATTAATTGCTTGGCCATCATTCCTTCTCAGGGCCACATAACCTCTGTAGTGGGGTTCAGATGGACATAATTTCTCTTGCATATTCACCTTGCTTTTCAAACTTCTGACTCTCTGGACAGCTTGCTCTTTTCTTAACCATTTATAGGAAATTGCAAAACTTGCATCTTTATGAGCTAGAATGTGGAGCCCAGGGAAAAGCACAGAGTAGCATGAGATGCCAGAAGAGGCCCATTTCTTTCCATAGGATGAGAACCAAAAACCAAATAGATAATAGGGTGCAGGTAGATTTAAGTCAGGTTGACTTCCCGTGGAAGTCCTGTGCCATTATTTACATGGTAACCTGCATGTTCTTGTGAGAACAGGGGCTGGCTAGAACCTGAGCCTTTCCCCAGCAGCCTGGCATATAATATAAGGCAGCCTCCTTTGGTAAGTTCATTCAGCCCTACTGTTACATTCAGACTGACCATGATCCCCTTACCGCTCCACTACCCCAGAGCTTTCCTCAAGATGTTAGCTCTTCTCTTCCCCTCCCATTTCCCCCTCCTTAATCCCACGATTGGCTCATCAGTTATCCAGTTAACTCCACTCTGAAGGAAGACATTCTCTCAGCCTGACTCACTCAGGCCCATTTCTCCACAGCCATCCCCTCTCCGCAGACCACAAGGGCCCTGACTAGCTCATGTTTTGAGTTAATGGATGTGAAACCAGAGCAAATCCCCTCACCAAAAGAAAATCCACCCTAAACTCTCCCACACAGGTCTCAGCAGGTTACACAAATATTAGTCCTATCATCCAAATAAATCTGCCCCCGTAGCCCAGAGCTATGGCTCCCCCAGCCTCCTGCTGCCTGTGCAGAGTGAAGCTGCTTCAAAAACATATGAGGACCCCAAGGAATGTTGGAGAGGAACTTGGGAAAGAAAGGGGCCTATAGCCAGAATTTTATGCAGGCCCCTTAATCTACAGACTTTTGTCAATACTTTATAGTCCTAATGAAGGACTGTTCCTAGAGAAGTCATGATGGGCTAGAGCAGCCAGGGGCTTTGGTGAAGAGTATCTGTGGGCTGGAGTTTGGGGCATAAGTAAGGCTTAGTATCTGACAGCTGGGCACAGTAGCTTATGCTTGTACGCCCAGCACTTTGGAAGGCTGCAGTGGGAGGATTGCTTGAAACCAGGAATTCAAGACCAGCCTAGGCAACACAGCGAGCTCCATCTCTGAAAACTTAGTTTAAATTAGCCAGGTATGGGGGCATGTCCCTGTAGTCCCAGCTAGTGGGGAGGCTGAAGTGGAAGGATTGCTTGAGCCTGGGAATTTGAGGCTGCAGTGAGCCATGTTTGTGCCAGTGCACTCCAGCCTGGGCAACAGAGTGAGACCCTATCTCTAAAAAAAAAGAAATGAAAAAAAGAACAGCTATGTATCCTCCTTTTGCAGATGAGAAAATGGAAGCTCAGAAAATTTAGCTACCTTGCTCAAAATATCAAAAGCAAGTGGCACAGCTGTGATGTTTAACCCAGAAATGTCATAACTGCAAATTTCTATACTACTCCACTACTTTAAAATATCAACAGGCAAAAGATAACCACTGTCCAAGTCACATAAAGATAGGACATCAAGGTTTGGGGGACTTCGTGTCCTACCCTCCAGCTTACTGAGCCTGCTATCTCTGGAGATCCCACTACTGCAAACCTAGCTAGGCAACGGCTAATAGCGTAGAAGAAACCCTCCTCTATTTAAGCCAAATGTGGAGTTAATAATAATCACCAGGACTTGGAGAGTCACTAAATAAAGATTTGTTGAGTAAATGGAGGAAGGCTGCCTTCTAAGCTGTGTATCACTTTGGCCTCAAGCCCCAGCACTCCTTCCCACTATAGCCACTAATTCCTGCTCCCAGCTTCAAAGGCTAGGATCCTCTCATGAAGAATTACCAAAGCCAGAGATCCCTACCTGCCTAGTATTCACTGATGCCTTATGTGGGCCCTTGAGATCAGACCTGCTTGCCCCCTCTCCCACCGTCCATGAGTTGCCTATATTTTATTCCGTATTTCCCCAAACCTGGCTAACCTCCAGAATAATGCATGGAAAGAAAAAAACAAAAACCCAAGGCCTGGCCAGACTTAACTTTCTCTATCCTAGGAGTATTCTAGGGTATTCTAATGATCTGTTAGGCATGGGAACCACTGCATTCCACCTCAGTTTGAACGGGCAGCAAATGAGCAAAAGAGGCAGTGCTGTCCAATACAGGTTGAGAATGGTAGAGAAAAAAAGAGAAAAAAGAGAGAGTGAATGTGTGTTTGTATAGTTATGATTTTTTTTCTTCTACAAAACTCAGCAGTTTATAAACATATGAGCATGTGAACAGAACCTTGTATACTATGGCTAACATCTCAGGCTCTCAATAATAGAATGTGGTAGCCTAAGATTTTCTTGTGGGGTACCAGGTAGTCTGCTCAAACTGACTTCAAGAAGCGACATGCTGTTTCATCTTTGTCCTATCTAACTTTGGCCAGGTAGAAACAAAAAGAAGCTCTCTATAGGTACCCTTCCTCTTGCACACCAAGGGAGTATCAGGAAGCTGGTACAAAGAAAAGAAAAAAGGAGCCTCAACTATGTACTTCAGTGCAACTCATTTCACTCTAAAGACCCCCTATCTTTTCTACCCTCCCTTCACATCTCCAGAGGGGGAAATCAGGGAGCTTGATCAGTTTCTTGTATCCCCTGTCAACTCCTTCCCAGGGCTGAGGAACCAGCCAGGACACCATGGTCCCTATGGATTACTCTCTATGTCCTTAAATAGAAGCTGCAGCAGCCCAGGGTGGAGGATGGAGGAAGGCGTGCATGCAAGGATCTTGTGCTTTTGAGTTGAGAGGCTCGAATTGGAGGGATGAGTGAGGTATCAGTGTGTTCAGGTCTGGTCCAGCCACTCTGCCTTCTTGGGGGCCTTGCAAGTATGGACGTCCACAATGTCTCTGCATTCCTTGCACCGCACAGCACAGCACCAGTGGAATTTGCACTCACACTGGGTAACACGGGTGACTCGAGTTGTGTCGTACCCTCGGCCACAGCACATGATTTCACAACCATCTGTTCCTTTTGATGTCTTGCTGCAGACACGGCCTGCAGTGCCTAGGGAACCTGGGTTGGGGGAGAGAAGGAGTGAGAACCAAGTTATCTCTTCAGCTGCCCCAGATACCCTTACCCACATTCTCAGAAGGAAGACATAAAGAATCCCTTTTTTTGGCTGGGCACAGTGGCTCAGTATCTCACTCACGCCTGTAATCCCAGCACTTCAGGAGGCCAAGGCAGGATTGCTTGAGTCCAAGAGTTCAAGACCAGCCTGGGAAACATAGCAAGCCCTGTCTCTACAAAAACTTAAAAAATTAGCCAGGTGCCATGGGCATGAGCCTGTAGTCCCAGCTACTCAGGAGGCTTAGGCGAGAGGATCACTTGAGGCTGGGAGGTCGAGGCTGCAGTGAACCAAGATTGCACCACTGCACTCTAGGCTGGGTGAAGGTGAAACTCTGTCTCAAAAAAAAAGAAGCATCGGCTCTGACATCAGATTATCTGGATTCAAATTCCAGTTCTACCACTCTTAGCTGTGTGATTTAGTCAAAATGAAACATTAACTTAGTGTCTCATGTGAAAATGAACACACTAATAAATAGATCATTAGATATAATCTCTGTTCATCTGAAGAGATGAACTCATTAGCATGACTGGCTGGAGGCATATTCCTAAGGAATTCCTAAGTAATATCCCTTGCATTGTTATTATCCCTAAGCATTATCCCTTCCCCTTATAGTGGAAACTCTTGAAATACAGGGATCATGTTTTTCCCCCATGCATAGGGAATGCTTAGAATCTCATTCTGACTGACCCTGCCAACAGATCATATAATCTATAGACTTTTGGATGGGTTGGGCCCATGAGAGTATCTACTTCAACCTTTTCCATGGTTAATAAGGATCCAGAGATGGGGAAATAACTAGCCTAGGTTCAAAAAGGAAAATAAATAAACTGATTTCTACAGCATTAGTCTCCACATACCACTGGGATAGGGAAGGAAAATACTAGAGCTTATATGTTTTTGTATCTCATCAATTTAAAATATCTATTTTGTATGTACGTTTTATAATTACACATCCATGTAGTGGGACACAGATATAACTTATAAATAAATATACATGTAATGGAGATATATGCTCAAATTGTTTTACTGATAGGAGTAAAGGATCCAGAATGTTAAGAGACCACTGCTCTGGAATGTGCATTGACTAGGTCTACTGAATATGTTAGTCTCCCAACTCCAAGGGCTGGCTCTTAAGTCCTCTTGGGCACCAAAAACCCCTTCTACATTCTGGAGCTGTGCTGTCCAGGGTCACTAGTCACATAGGGTCTTTTACATCTAAATTAATGAAAAGTAAACAAAAAAATTTAGCTCCTCAGTCACACTAGCTATATTCCAAGTACTCAGTAATCACATGTGGCTAGTTGCTACTGTATTGGAGAGCACAGATATGAAAACATTTCTATCATCACAGAGTTCAGTTGGACTCTACTACTTTGGAGGGATTTCCTGGCTCCATATTCTTTCTGGGATGACTTATATTCTTTGAATTCCAGGCCCCACTTTGGGTTTTAGGATACCTAATCTTATGCCTGTGAGAAAAACCAACATACATTTGACATATCCTCTCTTCTAACTCCAAAGTTCTTCCCCTAAAGGTGCATTTTCAGTATGGTAGTGTAGGCTTACATCTTGGATATTATGAAATTATTTCTAGGTATCCAGAGAGCGACCCTCTGAATTAGATCACGTGGGAAGAAAGCCTACTTAGTGGCAGGAAATCACTAGGAGAATCAGAAGGGCCCCAACTGTTTTTCTTCTAACACCCTACAAAGTATACAGACTACCTCCTTTGTTACTTGGGTAGAGCCCCACCCTGTTTCTGTGCCCAGTTTTACTCCAAGCCACTTGACTCTTCCAGGAATGACAGTGATGGGTGAAAACAAACAGTACCAAAGATAGCTGAGGCTTTTTGGCTCCGCTTCACCCAGGTCCTTACTGTTGAGCCTGTAGAAAAGAGCCCGGAGCCCCATGACAACAGCCAGAGGAGAAGAATTCTGCTGCATTGCATGTTCCTCGTCTAAACTATCTGAACCAGAAACATGAGCCAGGATGGTAACTTTCCTTCTCCTGGAGAAAAACTGTATTGTCTTCCAGCACCTCCAAGAATCCCACCACAAATACCTCAAACAGACTGAAAAACGACCATTTGCTGCTTTACTTGCCTTTGGTAGGGATCTCTTTCATTTCTTTCTCAGCTCTGTTTCAGAATCTTCAATGGCAGCACACTGGATAAAGCCTTTGAAGGACATCTTTCTAGCTTTTATCTCCCTTACGGGGAACCTTTACCCAGCAGATTGCTCTCTTCTCTGTCCCTGGAACAGGTCACGTGGTTTCCCACCTACTACTCTCAGATAAGAAACTGCCCACTCTTCTCTCAAGCTATCCAGATACTCCCCACACTTCAAGGAGCAGCTTAAATTCTACATTTTCTTTCTTCTTCTTCTTCTTTTTTTTTTTTGAGACAGAGTCTCTCTCTGACTTCAGGCTGGAGTGCAGTGGTGCAATCTCGGCTCACTGCAACCTCTGACTCTCTGGTTCAAGGGATTCTCCTGCCTCAGCCTCCTGAGTAGCTGGAACTACAGGTGCACATCACCATGCCTAGCTAATTTTTGTATTTTTAGTAGAGACGGAGTTCCACCAAGTTAGCCAGGATGGTCTCGATCTCCTGACCTCGTGATCCACCTGCCTCGGCCTCCCAAAGTGCTGGGATTACAGGCATGAGCCACTGCGCCTGGCCAAATTCTATATTTTCAAATAAACTTTATTGACTTCTCCAATCATCTCTCTTTGCATTTGTGTACCCATTATATCTCATTTCTTTAAGTAGATTGCAAAGAGCCAAAGGCTTAGGGCTGCATCTTATGTTTCTGTGTAGCCCACACATTGCTTAAAACTGAAAACAGATAGCTAAATTAAACATTCCCTGGATGATGCCTACTGTATCCGTGATGCTGGAGATACAAAGGAGCGATGCATGACCTCAGGCCTCAAGGAGCTGAGTGACTTCCTCTCTACTTGGCAGAACTGGGCCTGGTGGACTGAGGCATAAGTCAACAACGTCATGACCAGGTGTTCATGTGGGAGGAAACTGCCTCCTCCCACAGAACCTCCTTCCCTAGCTCCTGAGACTGAACAGACCTTGATTAACCAGGGGTGCCTGCACTAAGAACTGGGACTCCATGTCCCCACCTGCCTTCCTTACTCACCTGCAGCCTTGTCCAAGACACAGTAATCTGGGGAGTTGTCAAAGTAGACAAGATCAGTCCGAGTGGCACGGCGATAGCCTTGGCGGGCTGCAGTGAAGTTGGCACCGTCCTGGGTGGCCATCACCTGCACAGCCCCATCATAGCGCCGCCGCAGGTAATCACCTGTGCGGCGGAAATCTGAGAGTGCACGCCAGCAGGTACGCAGAGTACAGGAACCACTCACGCCATGGCACTTACACTCCAGCTTCAGAAATCGCCGCACAGCCTGGGGGAGGGGGAAGGCAGGTAAGGGCGAGGTAGCTAGTCAGGGCACATTTTAGTCATCCCTAGGGCCAAAAGGATGAGTGCTCTGAGTTAGGCAGACCTGGCCCTGGCTGGCTGATTGAGCTCTTGGTTGTTCTCTCCCACATCAGATCCCACCCATTCTTCCGGAGCAAGCTCAAGAAACTCTTCTTCCAGGAAATCTTCCTGGACCAACAGTGCTTTCCTTTTCATAACAGCCCACAGGACTTTAGAGCCACGGGATTCTGTTCATGATTACAATGTGCTTGCACCTCCTCTAGTTTTCACGTTTTAGAGTGCCAGGTACCATGCCTTCTACTTTAGTAGTGCTCCATTTTCCCGCATAGAATGTGTTCAAATACCAGGGAACTGACTAGAACAACCTCTTATCCTCTCAGTCTTTATGAAAGCAGTTCTTTTCCTTCTTAAAATGTTACTTCTTTTCTCCATTTTTTCCTACTGACCTCCTTTATGAAGACTCTTCACGCACCTGGTTAAACCTAGGCATTCCCAAGCTCCCTTGCATTTAGGATGATGGGGCTTTTGGAAGTGATCCAGAAGCCTTCAGCTCTTCCACCTTCACATTTATTTAATCCATGGTCACACATACTGGTCACCCCCAGCAAATATGAGTGTACATACACAGACATGAGTACTGACCGTGCGACCACAGCGGTTATTATGTAAGTTCATGAGGGCCCGGGCATCCTTAAGCCTCTTCTCCTTGGCATCTACGAAGGCCTTCGCAAAACGGACACCATAGTGGATGTTGTCACTGCAGCCACCCCAGTCAAAGTCCCCACGCTGGTCATGGTGTCGGCCACGGGTGTAGGGGTCACAGCTGCACACACTTAATTCACCCTGGCTACAGGCACGAGTAATAGCGTGGACTACTCCTGCTGATGAGATGGCGTATACAAAAGCTGCCTCTCGGCTACCTAGAGAGAGAATTGTAGAAGTGTGTTTGTTTCAGGAAGGAGGCCCATGTCTCTCCCCTTCTTCAGCCCATACAACCTCTGACTCTGAAACCTCTTCCCTCCTTTTCTTTTCTAGAGTCACCCCTACACCCGCTTTATTCAAGGTGCCTTTCATTTCCAAGAGCATTCCCCAGAGTATCTGACCTCTTCCCCTCAGCCCTCACTACTCTCTATCCGCTTCTTTATATATCTGACCTTTTGAGCTGACCTATACTCTTGTTTCCTGCCAAATTCCCTGTGTCCATCTATTGAAAAGTCTCCTGGTGAATCATCCCCTCCCACTGAGCACCAGCACTGGCTCAGCTAAGCCTGCCTTAGTCCACATTCCAGGCCTTTTCAGGCCCACTCTGCTGGACAGTTCCCCCACAATGGAGACCCCAGCCCAGGGGTCAGCCGTTTAGAGATCCATGCTACCTTCCCTTGCCTGCTTCCTCTCCCTCCCTGTTCTTAGAGACTGATGAATTCTTGCCTCTGTGTGCCTGACACCTTCAGATTCTCATCTTATTCCCTTTCTCCTAGTTTACGGTCTAGCTCTCTTTAGCTTTTTTGCTGAGCTGAAGCCAAGCCACTGACTCTCCAAATATTTACATATCACCTTTCTGTTTATCTCTTGTTCCCATTACTGTAGTGTTGGGAGTATTGGGTGACGGTAGTGATGGTGGTGTTAAGAGCAGTGGGCCTATCGTAGACCTCAGCCTTCCTTACAGTACATGGTAGCCTCCCAAGCTGGGAATTGGGGAGGACAAGGAAAATGAGCGAGAAAGATGGAAGTTCTAGGGAATCCTTTACCTTGGTCTTGTCCCAGAGCACCAGGATTTAGAGGAGCCCCTGTCTACAAATCTAAGGTGCTAAGAGTCATTCCCAACTATATCCTGGGCTCTGCCCACAATTCCTCCTCTGATTATGCAACAGTGTATGGGAGAGGAGAGGGAGGATCCTGCCTATACTTCCCATTCACCACCCCAGCACAGAAAGGGAAGTAGCTGTCACAGGATGGAAGAGGCCCCTACTTCTGAGCATGACACGGCCAAAGACGGTGTGGTCCCGGTCCACAGTGGTACAGTTCCAGCGGTGGTGGCGGAATTGGTGCTGACACTCTCGGATCCATTCTCGGGCACCCTCGCCCACTGAACGCATGATGTCTGGGTAGCGCTGGCACAGCTGCCGCTGCCGGCTCACCAAACCAGGGATATTGTCACAGATCACTCGGGCCCCCAGTGCCCCAATGTACCTGCAAGGTGGAGATGGCCCTGTCAGAACATCCCAGCCTTTTTTCTGCATTGGGAAGGAATAAGGAGGGGGCATATTTAGCATCCAGACCTTGAAGAGATTCTGTCCCCTCTCCCTAACCCACATTCCATAAAGCTGATGAGTAGAAAACCATTTCCCACAGTTCTGAAGAAGTATGAATAGTTATACAGTTGCAAAGAGAGTAATTGAGTGGCCTCCCACCATCACCAATTCCCCAGCCAAAGGCCAAAGTGACACACACTCCCAGAACACAAACTAGGCATGTGTCACATACACAGAAGCTGTGGGTATGTCACACAGACTCACTGTTTATTTAACAAACATTAAGAGCTTCATGGAAAAATAAACTAACAAAATAAGGGTCTGAGACAACATTCTTTTTTTTTTTTTTTTGAGATGGAGTCTCGCTCTGTCACCAGGCTGGAGTGCAGTAGTGCAATCTCAGCTCACCACAACCTCTGCCTCCTGGGTTCAAGTGATTATCCTGCCTCAGCCTCCCAAGTAGCTGGGACTACAGGCGTACCCCACCACACCCAGCTAATTTTTGTATTTTTAGTAGAAACAGGGTTTCACCATGTTGATTAGGATGGTCTTGATCTCTTGCCCTTGTTATCCGCCCACCTTGGCCTCCCAAAATGCTGGGATTACAGGCATTAGCCACCACACCCCCCTGAGAGACAACGCTCTTACGCTCCCATTAAGATGGATGATGACCTGCGTGGTTGGTCCATGAAGATATGGTTTGACAGCAGGGGAATGGTGACAGAAAGGAGCTAATGGGAAGAGATATAGTGAGCAATTCAAGTAATGTTTATAGCTCTAGTCAGACCCGTGTAACTAAAAAAATCCTCATTCCCAATCGAGAAGTCTGGGGAGGAAGATCCCACCCTCCACTCTCCTCCTCAAACCCTTTATTTCCAGGCCCTAGGGACTTTCTTAACGAATGAACCTTTTAAAATCATCTTCCCCAACCTGGAGAGACATGCATAGGCTGTCTGCAGTGGGAAGCCAAAGGCCAAGATAAGTAAGAGGGTGACTCTCCCCAAACTCTAGTCCCCAGGCTGCCCAATATGAACAATTAAAAGAAGGTCAATTGAGATGGGATACTAAAGAATAGGTGGGTTGCCAGAGTCATTACTGTTTCTCAAGGCAATATTTTCTCTTAAACAGTTTTAACCCTGGATCCCACCACAAGCCTCAGGAAGAATATTTCAGAGAGAAAACAGGAGTATATCACCCTTTTCTCCCAAGAGGCCACCAAACGAGATCTGACCCATTCACCCACTTCCTCCAGCTCAACAGCCAGCTCTGTTTCTCATTCCCTTCCTCTCTCTCCAAACCTATAGCACCTTTCTTGATTTGCTGGGAACTTTCTATTCTCCTGTCCAGAGCACATCAAAGGGCTGCCCTCCCTCCCCTTTTCTGAACAGGTGGGGGTCATGGAGAGCAACTGCTACTGCAGACAGAAAAGATTTGGTTTGAGCTGTGAATGAGCCTGTGGTTTGGGAACGGCCCCAAAATGGGCCTAGAAGTGGGTGAGGAGAAGGGAGGGCTGCTGGTAGGGGGAGGGGAGAAGCCAGACTGCCCTGGGCTCTGTGTCCCCCCCTGCCACCCCTCCGCATTCCCACAGCCGGCCCTCACCCACAGACTGGATCACCACTGGTGACACCAACTCAAACAAACACAAGGAGGGCTGATGCTTGCCTCTTCGGGAACTCAGCAGGGCTGATGGGGCCCATCTGTCCCGGGGAAGGGGTGAGAGGGTTGGCCCTCCCCTAACAAATCCCATGGAATCAGCGTCCCCAGCACTGTCCATCAGGGCAACAGCTTCCAGGAACAAACAAAATAAACACCCCAGACAGGGCCAGGCCGGAAAGGGCTGCCTGACGCACAGCCCAGAGTTACACCCACTGCTGTGGTGCTTTGTTTGGAGAATCAAGACGGTTGGAGTTGGAGCTTGTCCCTGTCTCACCACCATTCGGCTTCCCTAGTTCAGCCCAAGTACTGCTCTAGGCAATGGGTGTTTTTTTTTTTTTTTTTACTGGGGCTTGGGTGAGGAAGACTGGATGGGAATGAGAGACCAATAACCCAGCCCTCATGAGACAGCCTGGAGTGGGGCAGGCCAAACTCGGGCAAAAAGTCCTTCTTGTGGTCTGACTTAAATCCATTCTGCTGCAGCCCACGTAGGTCCTTTTTATTACATCCTCACTGAGTGTGGGAACATCTGTTCAGTATCTAAGATGGGAAGATAATTAAATGTCTCTATTACCACCCTTACCCCTCTAAGTTACAAGTTCAAGACTCCACAGAATGGTGCTGGCTTACTCTTCAGTATCAGCCCCTTGTAGTTAGTGTAGGAGGTCCCCAATAAAACTGAGCCTAACCCCATCTTCCTATCAGTTCAACACATGCCTGCAAAATGCCTACCATGTGCCAAGCACTGAGCTTAGATGTTAAGGACACAAAGATATGGAAGGCATCTCCCACCTCATGCTCTGTTAGGGTGTTAGATGCCCTGACTCTCTAGCTTTGTTTTTTCTTCTGGAAGTTCTTCACCTCCTTCCCAGCTTCCTGCCCCACAATGCTGCTCTTAACCTACTTTTGGCCAGTTCACATCCCTTCATTTGACAGAGTGAAGTATACACTACTCTAGCCCCTTGTTACTCAAAGTGTGGTCCCCAGAACAGCAGTATCTGTATCATCTGGGGATTCATTAGAAATGCAGACAGTCAGGCCCCACCCAAGGCCTAACGCCTCAGAATCTACATTTCACCAAGATCCCCCACATGGTTTGGATGCAGTGCTCCACGAAAGCAGGGATTTTTGTTGGTTTCATTCACTTCAATATCCCCAGTACTAAGAACAGTGCCTAGCACATAGTAGGTATGCAGTCACTATTTGTTGAATAAACACCTAACTGTTCTGATTTATCCCCAACTCCCTTCTCCCCCTAGCCAGCCATAAACTTCATTTCCAATCTGCAGATGTTTTATGTTTGTATATTAAAGATACAAACAGGCCAGGGATCTGCTTTTTTTCTTTCCTTCTTTCATGTACATCCCCTAGTGTACATGGTTCAGCCCAGCACATACAGGACTTTGAATATGGATAAAACTATTAGTCTCCATGAATCTGCTCTTAATGCCACGGCATCCCTCATTTTCATTTGCAAAATAAGGATGATAATAATAGAACCTACCTCACTGGATTATTTTAGATTGACCAAGATGATGCTCATAAGGTGTTTGGCCAACATGCCTGAAGCTTAGTAAGGGCTCATTAAAAACAACTACTGTTGGTAACAGTAATGCTAACAATATGATACCACTTTGTGCTTCTCTCCCTTGGTGAGCCTGTGAACACAGTCCTGCTCTTGTGATTCCCTACATCCAACCCCTATAGAATGCAAAATGGAACAGGAAAGCACATGCCAGAAGCCCCTTATTTCTTGGTCTGTTTAGGATAGATGGAGGGCAGTGGTTAGAGAGTAAGGGGAAGAATCTCAAGCTATAAGAAAAATCCAACTATTAACTGGTGAAAATGATGGCCTTCTGCTCCAGTGTGGAACACAGATGCACCAGAGTAACAGGCATTTCTCTTCCACGGGTTCTACAGAACGTCAATCTTGCTGGTTTTTTCCTAAGAGAAAGGCTTGGGGGCTTAGCCTGCCTTTAGAAGGTAGCTTTTCACCTTATACCACAAGTGGCGATCACTGAGACGGGCATTTGGGCCTGTAGCTATGACAAGTGTGAGGCAAGGAGGCTGAAACACACTTCCCAGCCTGGCCCTGTGGTAGCCTTCCTCCTTTTCACGGGGGCTGCTAAGTCACTCTGTGTGTCACCTACCTCCCTCCCTAGCTCTTTCGCCCAGGAATTTTTCCAAATCTTTAATATGAACCACATCAGGGGAGGGTAGTAGAGGGAGAAAGGAAAAGGGAGAAGGAGTAGTCAAGGGTACAAAATGGGGTATAGGAAGACCCCCACTTGAGTCTTTAGTAACCACTGCGAGGATGCTGAAATTACCAGAGTGACACTCTCACCCAAACACCAATTTGTCCCCGAGACTACATCCCAAGCTGGTAGCAATCAGGAGTCCCAAAAAGCAAACTGCCATCTGGGTCAGATGAAGATGGACAGTGGTCACTTCATGCTGTCTCAACAGAGACCCTGAAGATGCCAAGTCCCCAGCTAAACCAAGCTCATGAAGACAAAAGGTGGCTTTGATCTCACATAGAACTTTGAAAAGTTTTTCTCCTTATTCTCCTTCTTCCCTCTCCCTTTCTAAAAGAATATTTCAAGCCAGATGTAAGATACAGGCCTCTCTATTCCCCCATCCAGAACCCCCCTCCTCACCTTCCCTAACACTGCAGAGATTTAAAAAAAAAAAAAAGAAAGAAAAAAAGATCCAAAAGAGATTTTTCTGAAACAGGAAAACGGGGTGGGGGCTGGGATGAGAAGAGACGCATCTTGAAATGATAGGAATCTGCAGCCCAAGCTGGTGGGCCCCTCGGCCAGCTACCCCTCACCCTTCAGCCAAGATTCCAAGTCAAGAGGAGAAAAGCCACAGGGTGCAAGGGGAGAAGAGACGACACTTGGGGGCGGGGGGCTTGCACGGGAAGAAGAACCGAGTAAGGAAAGAAAGGGGGGCACTGCATGGTGGAGAGGGGCAATAGCCTAGTCCAAGAGGCCAGTTTGATTTCAGGGTGAAAAGGAAAGAATGAGTCTTTTCTAGGTTCAACTCTTCCTGCGTTGCCCTCTCCCCGGGGTGGGGAAGAAGGAAAAGCAGCTCCTTCTCCTACTGAAAGGTGATGAGTACCATCCAAGGAGTCGGGGGCAGGGAGGATTCTAAAAAGAACAGACAGCAGACATCCAGTGGATCTGTAATGCCTTTTTGCCTCGTCTGCCCTCTTGTGAAGTGTCTGGAGCCTAGGGCCTGCAAGAAATCTGGGGAAGGGGTCTCGTAGTACCTCGGGACTCCGGAGCCCTCTGGCTCTCGAAGGTGAGAAACGGGAGATGGGAAAGAATAGGAAGAAGGGAAGGAGACATAAAGTATCCAAGTGACATCCTCAAAACGGTGGCTGAAGAGGAACGCCTAGATAATGCAAACCCATGTGTTTTGTTTAATTGTGGGAGTTAATGGGGTAAATTTTGCCCCGATTCCATTTCTAAGCCTCCTCGGCTGGGTGCTGCTGCTTCACCAAAGCTTTCCTGTGGTACGGGTGGACTAGAGTAGCAAGATGCTCAGCTGACCTCGCCAGCTGCCCCTTTCTCCACCTCTCAGAGGGAGACCTTAGGCGATTGGGGCCCTGGCGAAGCTATTGCGGGCCCCGGAAGGTTATTTGTTCCTTGAACTCACCCTGAGGGAAACTCGGAAGGTAGCTTCTGCCATAAGGAGCCTTAGCTGAAATAGAGGGGGTACAGCACATGGAGGCCTGGGGAGCCGCGATCACCGGGCATCCTATCTCCGAATGCGCCTTTCTCACCAGGCGTGTAAGATGTGGAGCCTCACACTCCCGCCACCCCACAACTTTAGACTTCAGTGACAGTCGGCCCGAATAGTTTCCAGCTCCGTCGTCGAAGCAACAGCTTGGTCCCCGGAGCAGCCCGTCCCTCCAGGCGCCTCCGGCCTCTCCTACCAAGCGCCTCACCCGCCCAGCCTGAGAGCCACACTTACCACCAGGACGTGTCTACGCGGGCCGGCAGCGTCAGCAGCAGCAGGAGCAGAAAGCAGGCAAGACCTAAGCGGGCTGATGCCCGGGAGCCGTCGGGGGCCGCGGGTCTGGGCGAGGGCACCGGGACCAGGGCGCGGGCGCGCCGAATGGGGAGCTGCGCAGCTTCCTCCGCACCACCCGGTCTCAGCATAGCTCCCCGAAGACTCCCGCCCCGCAGCCCGGAGGGGCGTGGACGGGGCACCTTCTGAGGTTACTCAGGCCGCTCCTACCTCACGCCCCCGGGGGCCCATGGGGTTCACCGGCGGCTGGGGACCTAGGGTCACCTGGGGTCCAAAGCCTGGGAGCAAGGTCCCGGAGAGAGGCGCAAGTTGCGGTGTCCGGAAGCCGACGACTGCGCTCCGAACCCGGGGTAAAGGGGCGCGCTGCCCGAGCACGCAGTGCGGTGTCAGGGGGTCTGCAGCGCGGAAGGGAGCTGCGGGCCCAGTGTGCGGACAGCCCCTTCGGCCGCGAGCTCTCATTGGACGGGGCGGGGCGGGGCCGAGGCCGGGGACACGCGCTGCCCTTAAGGCGGCTCCGCCCGCGCCAAGCCCGGGGCGCTCCTCCGAGCCCTAGGTGTAGCGGCCGCCTCCTCCCCTGGGCGCTCCCGCGCGCCAACGCGCAGCTCCCCCACCTGCTCCCGCGCGCCGCGACGGGGCGCCGCGGCTCCCTCCAGCGCCCCGAGCGCCCAGTCCTTGCCGACACCGCGCCACCGGGTCCTAGCGCCCTTCACTCGGCAGCCCCAACTTCGGTAGGGGACCTACCGGCGGGCGGAGCGGGAAGGGGCTGCAGACACTTCCCTCCTGTCCCCAGCCTACAATGACACTAGCGCTGAGCACGGAGGATGAACTCATTTCCTCCATCCTTGCGCATCTGTGAAATGGGTAGAATCCCTGCCTCAGGGAGTCGGGGGAGTCCTATCTTTTCAACACTGTCTACAGGGGCGCCGTGGGCAGTCGGCTTCGGTCAGGGAATGCTTTCACCTAGGGCTCATCGCCCCTGCTTCTTCAGACCCACTGCACCCCCGACCCCAAAGCATCACGTTTAGACCTGGCTCCTGCCTGCCCGGCCTGCCACGCCCAGGTGCTTTTCTTTACGGACTGGGAAGCAACGACCGACGCGATGGGGGCACCTGCGGACTCCCCGCCCCTTACTCCAGGGCTCAGCGGAGCTCAGTCTCTCCCTGCTCTCTCTCTGTGCCTCGGTCCTCCACCCTCTCGGGCGGGGCCGAGAGTATGAAAGAATCAGAAACAGCTGGGAGGTTTTCCCGCACCAGAGGCCAGGGTGGGGGTCCTGCCGAGAGGGTGGACGCCCTGGAGATTTTTCCCTCCTTCGCCTTCCCACCCTGCCTCCTCCCCCGTGCTTCCTCATCCTCCCTCCGCCCGCACAGCGCCTTGGGGGCGTGGTAAATCGGGAAGGGGTGGGGAGGTGCAGTCTGCGGAAAGTGACCCTCTTCTCCCACCACCCCAACCCTCACCTTCCCTGGGTTGCAGGTACAGCCCCTGCGGGCACAGGGGCCCTTAGTCAGAAGTCAAATTCTTTTTAAAATCCTGGTCCTTCTAACTCCGAGGGTTCAGAGTTCACCTGGCATCTGGCTCTAGGCCCTTCTTCAGCCTCAGTTTCTCCCGCCTCGAAGGTGTCTTTCCTGCCTCCTCATGTGATTTATTTAAAGTCCTGGTGTAAACAACTCACTAGTAACTGCAGATGCCCTCAGCCCCAAATTCACTGTCATTCCTTGGTTGGGGGTGGGGGGTGGTGGTGGCATTAGAGGTGCCTCCTGAGTGTGAACAGATGGGGTGCAGCTGGCTGCAGACGTCTCAGAAACAGAGCTAGGGGAGAAGGTTTCAGAGGGACCTTTATCCTCTCTCCCCACCTCTCACTCCTTTACCCTTGCTTTCTATGGTAAGGTGCTGAGTGCATTCATGAATTCAACAAATACTTATTTCCTACCACATGCTAGGACTGTGCTAGGCACTGGGGACAAGTCGGTAAATAATTCATCCCCTCATGGAGTTTGCATTCTATTGGGGGAGGATAGACAATAAACAATAAACATCAGAAGCAAAACAGAGTATGTTAGAAAGTGGTAAGTGCAGTGGTAAAGAGAGCACAGTCAAGGGAATGGTTACACTTGCAAGTAGGATGATCAGGGTAGGCTTCATTAAGGTGACATTCAAGCAGAGATTTGAAGGAGGTGAGGAAAAGAGCCAGGCAGCTTCCTGACAGAGAGCATCCCAAGCTGAGTGAAGAGCCAGTACAGAGACCCAAAGGCAAGAGTGGGCTGGTGTACCAGGGCCCGCCCAGCTGGAGTGGAATGCATCATGAAGGAGGAGAATTCAGATGAGGCCCTGAGGTGCTCCAAGTCATGAATGGGAGGCAGTGCTCCCCGCTTAGGTGGAAAGTGGGGGCTGGGCTGGATTGGATGGGAGTGGGAGAGGACTGAAAACGGGGAGACCTCGAAGGACCGACTTCCTGGCACAGAAACTAGGACTGTATCATTTGTAGCCAACCAGCTAGCTTCTTTGCTTCCCCTTCACTCCCTTTTAGTGGGGTGGGCTCTAGTTGGCCCTGCTATTTCCTTAGAAAATCGCAGACTCTGTGCTTAGTTTTCCTGAGAGGGGCAGGTGGGAGAGGAGTGAGCCCCAGCTCATTCTTGGCTGGGCCCCTTTCCTTGGACCACTCTTTTATTTTACCTCCTCCCAGCCCCGCCCCATCCCTACACAGGGCAGTCTTGGAGTTCCAGCAGCCTCTCCCAGACTCCCCTGTGTGTTTAGACCTGGGTGTGACTCTGGCCCTGTGTTTATTTCTACATATGGGCCTGGGGTTGGTGGGAAGCGCAGGGAGAGGGAAAGTTGGCTGAAGATGATCCATCAGCCCTAACCTAGAGTGGACTCGCCCACATGGGCCCCCACATCACTTCTGAGGCCGTTTCTCTGGCCTGAGCTGTCTTTATCATCAAGTGGGACTGTGTCTTGGCACAACATAGATGCTCAAGTATTAAAAGCATGTTTTTGAGGCCCATGCTTGGTGGCTTATGCCTGTAATCCCAGCACATTGGGAGGCTGAGGTGGGAGGATTGCCTGAGCATAGGAGTTAGAGACTAGCCTGGGCAATATAATGAGACCCTGTCTCTACAAAAAAAATTTTTTTTAATTAGCCAGTTGTGGTCACGCACACCTGTGGTCCCAGCTACTTGAGAGGCTGAGCCAAGAGGATTGCTTATGCCCAGGAAGTCGAGGCTGCAGTGAGGCATGAATGCACCACTCCACTCCAGCCTGGGCAACAGAGTAAGACCCCATTTTAAAATAAGTAAATACTAATTAAAAAAAATTTTTTTAAGCATGTCTTTGAGCTGAAGGGGGCCCCAGAAACCTCAGCAGCTCCAAGAGGGAAGGAAGTGGGTGAGGGGACAAGACTTCTATCTAAGGATTATAAGTCATCTCTGCCCCCAGAGTGACAACCCAGGATGGGACTTGGCTCCTTTTGCTGCTTCTTCCCCTCTCCTGAGTCCCCAGCTCCCCAGAAAGAATCTCAGGCTGCAGCAGCCAGCTGACTGCAAGAGCTGCACTCAACCACTTAACTAGAGAACAAATATGGAGCCAGAGAAGAGGTTTTCTGGGATCTGCCTCTTTGGAGCTTCAAATCTCAAAATAAACTTCCAATCTCAAGGTCCTAGACACTACTGGAGAGCTCAGCTCCTCACGCAAAGGCCTGTTGTGGGGCTTCCAGGCAGCGGGTCAAGGCCAGAGGCTCAAGCCAGCTCATGACCTGCTCCTTCATTTTATGTCCACACTCTCACTCTCAGTTCTGGAAGCCAGAGGGAGGAGTCACTGATTTGAGCGTTAAGTTCTGGTCTGTAGAACCCTGCAGGGAGTCAAGTCAGCACTTACTGAGCACCTGCTGTGTGCCCAACACTGGCCAGGGTATCCTAAATAACAAGGAGCAAAAGGGTTTTACTCCCAAGGCATTTTCATGCAAATACAATAAAGCTGTCCTTGGGTGGCACACTGTTCTGCTGAGGTTCAAGGGTGCACGCTGTGGACACGGTGAACAGTATCAACAGAGACCTGAGGAAGAATCCCAGGTTCCTTGGAGGCTGCCAGATTACCTGGGGCCTCCAGCACGACAGCTCCCACCCAGCCAGCAGGGTCTGGTCCTGCCTCTTCCTCATAGTGGCACTAGAGCCTCCTCCTGTCCTCTCAAAAGTGGGTGCTCAAAGAAGAGTCTGCTCTCACCCTTGATATCACCTTATGCTCTGCTCTCTGGTGGAGCAGAGTTAAGATTTCTCTTCACTCTGTTCTCAGCTGTTCGTGGCTGAATGATTTTGAATTTTTGCTGGCCCTGGGATGGGAGGGGAGATGAGCTAAGGGGAGCTGGGGTGTGGGTAAACAGCTCTTACCCCGCCCTGCTCTAGCCTCCAGAAGGCTCCCCTTCCCTGGGCCCCTTTGGCGATGACCTTCTCTTTTTCCCTGTGGGTGGGAGGTGGTGTGGATGGTAATGAGCAGAGAGAAAGGCCAAGAAGGGGCTGGGGGGAGGTTTGGATGGGAGTCAAGGAATTCCTGAGCCTGCTGCTTGCAGAAGGGGCCCTGAGACGCCTTTCCTGAGATTTCTTTGCAAACCGAGGCAGGTCTCACTTGAAGTAGGGCCAGGTTCACACAGGTAACTAATGCCTCACCTCTTGCCCTGCCACCCCATGCAGGTGTCTGGGGAAGTGAAGGAAGCTTGGAAAGAACCCAGGAGCTGTTAAGTGGGGGAGAGAGAGGGGATCCATTTTTTGTACACAGCCTGGCAGGCCTCTCCTTGGTATTTATGAGCTCTTAGGCGAGGCGTGGAACGTGTCTCGAAGAGGCCAGACCAAGAGGGCTTTGGAGGGAAGGAGCATCAGCCCCAAACCAGGAAAGGGGGCTTGATGGAGGAGGAGCTCTTTCCTCCCAACCTAGTGGCTAAACAGGGGTGCAAACTGCTCCCCAGAGGATGAGGAGGAAAGGAAGAGAGGGATCTAAAGGAGAAGGGGAAGGAGGAGAGGCGGCTTGGGGAGGCGAAACGATGGGGGCAGGGAGTGGGGGTGTCTGGAGCCTTTTGGCACTTTGGTTGTAATCAGACTGGAGCCAGGCGGTGGGCGGGCTGACAGCCATGCTGGGCGGGTGGCCCAGGTTCCGTGTGAGGCCAGTGGGTGTGCTGCTGGGATCCTGGGTGGCCACTGACCGCCCCTCCCTGAGGGAGGGTTCCCAGTCTGCCTGATCACACAGGCTATGCACTGAGCCTTCTGTCTCCCCTACCACCTGTTCTGGGCCCTAGAATGATCTGGAAGTGAGAATTGTTTCCAGTGGACAATATCTGCAGAGGGCATGGCCTGCCTCCCTGCCTCCCTCCCACTCTGCCTTCCTCAGTTCACTCTACCTCTTGTTCTCGTGCTCTCCCCATGTCTCTTCTCTGAGTCTCCATCTCCTTGGGTCTCCCTCTGGCTCGTGTTTCTGTCATTCTGTGTCTATTTTCATCTGTCTGTTGTGTTAATCTCCCTGTCTTCATGTGTCTCTCTGTGTGTCTGAGTTGGCCTGCCTCCGCTCTCTCTCTGAATGTCTCTGTCCTTCTCTCTCTCAATCTGTCTCTTGCCTATCTCCCTTTCAGTCTGCGCAACTGCCTGTCTCTCTGTGTGTATCTCTCTATGAA